GCCCCCCCCCCCCCCGCCCTTCCTTTCCTCCCTTCCTTCCACTTTCTCTAAAAAATCAATGGAAAAATATCCTTGGGTGAAGATTAACAACAACAAACTAAGCAGCAGTATTATAGTACCTGAGATTTTGTGACCTATAAAAGTGAGAAAAATCTTGTTACAATTTGCTGATCTCAAAATATTTATATTCATTACTATTTTAAAATTATGAACATTGCCCAGCCCATGGCATCAACCTATGAACCAGGAGGTCATGGTCCAATTCCCAATGTGGGGTGTGCAGGAGGCAGCCAATCAATGATTCTCTCTCATCACTGATTTCTCTCTCTCTCCCTTACCCTTCCTCTCTGAAATAAAAATATATTAAAAAACAAAATAAAATTATGGACATTAGACACATCATTAGATGTTGTTTAACATATTAATAAAGAAGCACACATATTACTACATCATACATTTGTTTTAAAAAATATTTTGACCCCTAGCTGGATTGCTCAGTTGGTTGGAGTGTTGTTCCATACACCAAAAGGTTATGAGTTCAATTCCTGGTCAGGGCACATGCTTAGGTTGTGGTTTTGATTCCTGGTTGCAGTGCATAACAATTGATGTTTCTCTCTCATATCAATGTTTCTCTCTCTCTCTTTCTCTAAAATCAATGAAAACATATCCTTAGGTGAGGATTAAAATATATATGTGTGTTGATAACTATTATATTACTGGTTCCTTTAATATTCTTTTACATTTTATTTTATACATTTAAAGACACTCCTGTTTTATGCAAAACTAGAGGCCTGCTGCATGAATTCATGTGCGGGGCGGGGTCCAGCCCCCCACCCTGATCAGGGCCATTGGGTGGGCGGGCGAGGTGAGGGGCCACTGATGTTGGCCAGCCACCCTGCCCCCTGGTCCAACTCCCTGTCAACTCCCAGTGGAGGGGACAATTTGTATATTAACCTTTTATTATATAGGATAGGCTTCACTAGACTGCAACATGCCACAAAAAATGTTTAGAAACCCTAGTTTAATGGTGACTTGAGTAAAAGATCTAGAATTGATTTGATTTTTAACTCCACAGAAATAATTGCTATTGACATTCTACATGAATTGCTTTTTAAGTATAATATAAATCCTACAACACAACAGAAACTACTGTATCATTCACAGAGCATCAGACCAGGTAGGGAAAAAAGTTGAATATAAAATAAAAACAGCTAAAAAAGTACTACTATTACTGGTGAATTCTACCAAACATGTAAGGAAGAAATAATAGCAACTCTACACAAACTCTTCTAGAAAAACAAGGAAAGGACACCTCCCATCTCATACCAAATCATAGACATAACAAGAAAACTACAGACTGATACCCTTCATGAACATAGATACAAAAAACGTTAACAAAATTTTAGCAAATTGAGGACAAATGGGTCAACCTTAAATTAAGGTTAAAAGTACTTTAGTGTTTTTTTTTCTAAATAGAATGAACAGGATCAGAACTGGTGGAGAAGAGCTGAAAAAGGCATTTACAATTACAAGGGGGCGAAACCCAGGCACTGACCACGACTAAGCGAGCAGCAAGCGACGTTCAAGAGGGCGACGAGGGTGGGGGTTTCCCGGCCGTTTATCCCGAAGCTTCCAAGCCGCGGGACAGGCAGTAACCATGGTAATAGTATTAATGAAAAATAAAGAACTAAATAAAACATATAGATAGAAAATAGTATGCGTGATTCACTGGCAGGCATTTCATCAGGTGCTCCTCCCCCGCCGACAGCTCCTCGGTGTCGAGGTGGTTCAGCCCCAGGTGGAACTCAATCACCGCCAGCCTCACGGTGCCCTGGGCCACGGGCCCCTCGACCGCCACCAGCTCGGCCAGCAGCCCCGGGGCGGAGTAACCCGCGCCCACGTCGTCCTCCGCCTGAGGCCGATCTTCCTCGTCCTCGTCCTCGGGCGCGGGGCCCAGCAGCGCTCTGACCTCCTCCAGCAGAACTCGGGCGCCGTACTTGGACTTGTACGGCTCCTTCTCGGGGTTTTTATGCAGTTCTACCCGCGACAGGGCCAGCGCGGCCTGGAATTTCTCACGAATCTCGGCCCACGCGCCGTTCGCCATCGCGGCCTCCGCTCCTCAGGTTTCCCTAATGTTTCCAATCCGGACTCCCGCCTTCCTTTCTGCTTTACGACACTTCACTTACGGCCCCCGATAGGTCCGGCACTGCATCACTATGACCAATGAGGTCCGCCAAGGGAACCGCAATATGCTCAGCAGTGACCAATGGGAAGGCGCAGTGAATACCGTAGCAACCGTTGTCATGGAAACGAAGCTGCCAAAGTGGATGGCCCCACCTCCCATAATGGTGAATTCATCTCTCGCTTGGCCCGGTAAAGTTATATCGATATAAAACTACCGACTGACTTTAATATAACATATGGAAATATTGTTAAACATATCTACTAACTACTCTTGTTAATTGATATAAGCCGCATTAGTGTGTAACTTAGCCCATCACGATAAAAATATAACAAGGATCGGGTTATTATCACTATATAGCCTGGTGAGTGAAAGCTATGAATGTAAAAAGCACTTCAACCCTGAAATGCAGGGTGTAGGGATGTGCACAACTTCCCAAAGTAACACGAGTTAAATCCCAGAGCTGTGGCAAGGCGCCTCAGACACTTTTTCCACTACACACCTTCCTAAACTAGCCAAATTCAGGGCGGACTGAGGGGAAGGGGGAAAGCACTTTTAATTATTATGCTATACTGTCTCCTAGTAGGAGCTCAATAAATAAACCACCATGACACATGGTGCTGATCTCTGAAGATCTAGCTGGTAGAACAGCCAGGTGAAAACTAAAATAGAGATGTCTGAAAAATCCTTAGACACACACCTAATAAAGACATCAGACTAGGAAACTTGAGATGGAAGATTTCTAGCTGACAATATTTCCTCTCTTGGCCTTCTTTTTACACCAGTATTTTAAGTCTTGAAGGTCATGGGATGTTCCCTGTGAGATGTCATAAAGCAGTCCCTGTGGAATTTGTCCAGTGAGTGGTATACAGAGCAATGCAGTGACTCGAGATCAAGCTCGTGAATGATAATTAGAGGAGAGGGGAAAGTCTAAGGCATGTTGTGATGAAAGGGAGTTAACTTGTTTGGTCAGAGCACAGCTAATGTCTATCAATTATGTTCATTCCAGTAAAAATAAGATACTAAGAAGAGCACTAATTTGTCTTTACACCGGGGAGCCAACTTAATGGAAAACTCATTAATAAGAGCAGGGTAACCATCATCTGTAGTATATAATATTGATATGAAAGTGCTAGAAAATGCAATTGGACATTCTTTTGAACAAATAAGAGGTATAATGATTGGAAAGAACATGGAAAAAATATCATTATTTACATATGGTATGATTGATTGTCTTCCTGAAAAAGCAAAGTAAAACAACTAAACAGAAAAAGTAAAAAAATAGTTTAGTGAACAGGCGGGTCACAAATAAAGGTATAAAAATCAACAACCTTTCATTGGAGGAAAGATGCAATGGAGAAAAAGACCACTTTCATAATAGTAACATCAACAAAAACCTAACCATTTTAATGAATTAAATAAAAATAGTAAGAACGTAAGACATGGCGCGACACCGTCCCGCCCTCATCCAGCCGGGTTTGCTGCTCCTCGTGGACCTTCCAGTCCCCTCACCGGCGCTCCAGACACCGGGCTCCTCTCGGCGTGTGAAATGGCTGCCAGGCTGCTCCCTGCCCTTGCTCTTCGGCCTTTTGGTCCACTAGTGGCGACTTTTGAGTCGTTTCTGGTTTTTGTGTTTTTTTTCTCCCCTTTCATGAACTCTCGGCCGGTCCAGCGCCATTAAAGTTCTTCCGGGAGCTGGGCTTGTGCCACCCCCTCGCTTACTAGGCCCCTGGCGGCCGTGTCCCCACCCGGCACCGGGGAGCCCACATCCTCTCCCTGGTCCTGGGATCCCGGCGACCCCACCCCAGTCCCGAGGCCCCTCCCGAGGCCGCTACCCTCGCCTCCGTGGGCGCCTCAGGCCTTATTTTTGTCGTCGCTGCTCGGTCAGGGCCGCCTGTGACCTGAAGGTCTCGTGTCTCTGAACCGGCTCACCTTTTTGGAGGAAAGAAAAGAAAGGACAGGAGACATGACCCAGGCATGCCTCTCCTAGATTCTAAAGGGCCCCACAAGACTGTCAGGGAGGGGAGCAACAAGCAGCCACAGCCCATCCCAGGCCAACCTTTGAACCGTCCGTAAGGCCCTCTTTTCTCTCGCTTCTCAGTGAGCCCAAGCCGCCCGGCCAGCTCTCCTGTGGCTGCTTCCATCCCAAGCCCTTCCTTGTCTCACTGTCCCAGCTTTAACACAGTAAGCGCCATGGCAGTCACTGGTGACTGACACTATACTTTCCGTCCAGACCTCGTCAGTCACTGCTGACTGACGATATACAACTTAAAAAGTTCTATTCTTAAAAAAAAAAAAGTTCTATTGTTCTATTAATAAATTTTAAATAATTTGAAGATCATAAAAGAATGTACCTAAATATCACTTGTTACCAAATTTTTTAAAAAATATTATTAAAATATGATATACACAAAAATAGTTGTCCTGTGCGTTTCACAGAACGTTGTAACTTGCTTTATTCTTAAAAAAAAAAGTTCTATTGTTCTATTAATAAATTTTAAATAATTTGAAGATCATAAAAGAATGTACCTAAATATCACTTGTTACCAAATTTTTTAAAAAATATTATTAAAATATGATATACACAAAAATAGTTGTCCTGTGCGTTTCACAGAACGTTGTAACTTGCTTTGTCAACTTTCTGGCAATATCTCGTCCAAATTGTGCTGCATTATCTTCGAACTTCAGACACTTCCAGTTTTTAGTTGCTGTTTGTGGTGAGTTGTTTGAGGTATATTTACAGTACTGCTACTTGGAATTTCTTTATCCCAACAATTTGTTAGATGGACAGCTAATTTCTTCTGAAATTCTGTGATACTCATATTCTTCTTGCTAACATTTTTAAATAAAATATGAGCATTGAGAACAGCAGTATTTAGTACGAGCTTAAAGGCTAGCTTTTTATACCATTTCATGGGTTTTTGTAACATATTATTATAGGCACTCATTTGATCAGATATATCAACTGCTGCTTTTCTTGCATTATAATCCACTACAATTTTTGGTTTCAAGTAGTGACCTAATCTATTTCCAACATTCACCATCTCTGACATATGTTTTGTTGAAAGAAGATGTCCTGCTTATCTTTCCATTTCAAAATGGTTATTCCTTTTTTGCTATAATTTCTCCCCATTTTAATTTCTTTGACATTACTTTATGAGGATTTCCTGGTCGACTTGAACGTAATGTTCCTACTAAATGAGTATTATTGAGTAATTTATATGCTAAATCTAAACTTGTGTACCAGTTGTCTATGTACAACATGTGTCCTTTATTGAATACATCTCTACAGACACATTAAAAAAGAAAAAGAATGTAAGACATAAGTCTTAGTTCCCAGACTGTCAGCCCTAAACAGCGTTACCTATTATAAGGAAACCTGGTTCCTTCAAGAAAATGCTAATTCTGGTTCTGGGATAGGATGAGCCTGGCTATCTTGTCACACCAGAAATCAAAGAAACCATCAAAGACTAGAAGGGTCAGTTCAAAAGAATTGAAAAGGTGCCAACTTAAAAAGAGGTTCTTGGGCAGTGTTGCCAATACCCTGGCGGAGAAGCTGAGGCCATCATCAGACTTGAAATATTTAAATTGGATAGAAAACTATTTTAGCAATGCAGACAATTAAGTGCATTATTGTGGGCGATGGTGCCATTGGTAAGACATGTCTCCTAACACAATAAGCAAATTTCCATCTGACTATGTACCCAACTGTTTTTGACAACTATGCAGTCACAATTGTGATTGGTGGAGAGCCATATACTCTTAGACTTTTTGATACAGCAGGGCAAGAGACTATGGCAAGATGTTGACTGCTGAGTTATCCACAAGCAGATGTATTTCTAGTCTGTTTTTCAGTGGTCTCTCCATCCTCATTTGAAAACATTAAAGAAAAGTGGGTGCCTGAGATAACTCACTACTGTCCATAGACTCCTTTTTCTTGCTTGTTGGGACCCAAATTGATCTCAGAGATGACTCCTCTACTATTGAAACTTGCCAAGAACAAACAAAAGCCTATCACTCCAGACTGCTGAAAAACTGGCCCGTGATCTGAAGGCCGTCAAATATGTGAGCGTTCTGCACTCACACAGAAAGGCCTAAAGAATGTATTTGACGAAGCAAATTGGCTGCCCTGGAGCCCCCAGAATGGAAGAGCTGCAGGTGTGTGTTGCTATGTTCATAAAACATCTCTCCAGAGCCCATTCTGCACAGCTGGTGTCGGCATCATACTAAAAGCAATGTTTAAATCAAACTCAAACATTAAAATTCATTTTTGCAATAAAAGAGGCCCTTGTCCACGAGAGAATATCTGAAGCAATTTATTAAAATCTTGGCAGCCGGCCCTTCAACTCCCGCTTTCTCTGAGCTGCCTTTACTAAAGCTGACCGCTCTCCCAGCATTTCCCTCCACAGAAGACCTATTGTCACGGCCTCTGGAGGGGCAATTCCTGGAGGGACTGCTTCAGCCATTCTAGGGTCTTGAATAAACAAAAACTATGCAAATAAATCACCATCTTGGGGAGGGGGGGGAGTAGGCGCTTGCTGTTCAAAGAGGGGACGGACAATTTGAGCATGAAATAACTGCGAAAGGTTAAAGTATATCACGTTAAAACCTACAAATTCAGTGATCAACCAAAGAACTTGTATGCATGCATATAAGCATAACCAATGGACACAGACAGTAGGAGGATGGGAGCAGCCAGGAGAGGTCAATGGGGGGAAAAGGAGACATGTAACTTCTTTCAACAATAAAGAATTTAAATTTAAAAAAAACCACATCTACAAATTTATAAATAATCAACAGTAACAATGAAAAACAAATGGCTTGGCTTCTTCAGAAACTAAATTGCAAGGAAAAAAATCCCCTCCTATAGAGGAATCCTATCTAATAATAAACAAACATGGTAATTGACTGTAACTTCGCTACACCTCCCATCGGCTAATCACTGCTACATGCAAATTAACCGCCAACAAAGATGGCGGTTAATTTGCATACATAGGCTCCAAGAGGCGGAGGGAAGACTCAAGGCGGCTCCAGCTGGAGCGAAGGCCTGGGTCCAGGGTGCCAGAGGAAAACCTGTGCCAACAGCCAGGAGAAGGGAAGGCCTATTGCATGAATCTCTTCGTGCAACAGGCCTCTAGTTTGTCAATAAATAAAAATACTACATAAGCACTTACCTTTTAACCAAGCCATCCCACTTCTAGGAATCTACCCTGAAGATACACCTCCAACCGTGTGAAACACAGACACAAGATTCCTCACTGCAGCATTGTTTGTAACTGCAAATTATGGGAAACCTATGTGCTCTTACATAAGAAATAAGAAAAAGTTGAAAAAACTATGTTATACCCACACAATGGAGTATGATGCATAGAATAAGGTTTCTATGAACCAATGTGGAGTGATTCCAGGGTACTCTGTTAGGAAAAAAAGCAAAATGCAAAGCAGTACCTATAGGATGACACCCTTCATCTTAATATCCTGGTTTTGATCATTATACTATGGTTATATAAAATATTAACATTGGGCCCTAACTGGTTTGGGTCAGTGGATAGAGCGTCAGCCTGCAGACTAAAAGGTCCCAGGTTTGATTCTGGTCAAAGGCATGTACCTTGGTTGCAGGCACATTCCCAGTAGGAGGTATGCAGGAGGCAGCTGATTGATGTTTCTCTCTCATGGATGTTTCTAACTCTCTATCCCTCTCCCTTCCTCTCTGTAAAAAAATCAATAAAATATATATTGTCTTAAAAATATTAACATTGGTAGAAACTGAGTGGAGAGTATACAAAACTCTGTACTATTTGAATACATTTTAAGAAAATATGTTTTCATTGGTTTTTAGAGAGAGAGGGAGAGATAAAACACCAATGAGAGCCACGCTGACATAGCTGAGTGGTTGACCGTCTACCTATGAACCATGTCACGGTTTGATTTCCGGGCAGGGCACATGCCCAGGTTGCAGGCTTGATTGCCAGTGTGGGGCAAGCAGAAGGCAGCCAATCAATGATTCTCTCTGATCACTGGTGTTTCTATATCTCTCTCCTTCTCCCTTCCTCTCTGAAATCAATAAGAAAACTATTTTTTTAAAAAAAAATCAATTTTTCAGTCTATAATTAATCTGGGATTTAGTGTAAGGATCAAGTTAGAGTTCTAGAAGAAAATAAATGAAACTTTTACTAGTATAACCTTGGAGGTGAGGAATAATTTTCTAAGCATAAGACAGCCAGAAATGATAAAAGATTGATAGTTACAATTGCATAAAAACTTTGTCAAAACATCCCACACTATTAAAAGACAAAAATTTTTAAGAGTATTTGCTACATACAATCACTACTAATAAACAAAGAACTTATCAACAAGAGGCAGACCCCAGTAGAAAAAAAGACAAATACATAGGGTAGTTTTTTAATGCTAATTGTCAATAAATAGGAGATATTACCCCTCACTCAAAAGATTAAAATAAAAGTGATATCATTTTGTACCTAGCAAACTGACAAAAGGAAGCCAAAATCCAGGGCCCCTTGGTGTGGGGAAACAGGTTCTCATTCGTTGTAGGGTGGAACTGTAAACTGGTACTGCTTGGACAGGCAACTTGCACCAAAGCTTAATACACGTTCACTTTAACCCTGAAATTCTTTTAGAAAATTTGTCCTAAATTGACAATCAGGCAAGTAGGCAAAGATTTACACAAGGGCACTCATTTTAGGGTTGTTTACAATAGGGAAAACTTACAAATAACCAACATGGCCATCTAAATATACAGTGAGATACTATGTAGTCTCAAAATATCATAGATCTATACTTTCTGAAGTGTGCACTACATGTTGAGGCAGGGAGAGCAACTCACAAAACTGAATGAAAATGGTTCCAATTTTGTACATGAATTCCTGGAAGAGATGCTCACAAAAATGTTAGATATGAGGTGACTGTTAGGTTTTTTCTTCTTCTATGTTTGAACTTTTATACGCACCATTTATTTTTAAAATAAAAATTTCAAGCTATTTTCAATTTCAGGAAGAAAGTCACCAAAAACATAAAAAGTACTAATACCTTTATTATGGCATAAAGCAATATTTTATACATTAACGCAATTTTATAGTAAAAACATTTTATGTACAATTGTAAAGAAACCACTGCATAGATAACACCAATGTAAAAATGGGCTGGCTTTTAAAAGTTCATTGAGTTCATAAATTGGAAAATATTTTTTCTGTAGAAAATAGTAAAAGTGGTAACATTCCCCAGGCTAGCGCAAAAGCCCATTTCAACCAAGCAGTAGCTAAATTATACATTTATAAATATAGTTTGAATTCTAGGATCCAAAAGAGACTTTAGTTTCATTTACTGAAACAGCCATAGCCATGCTTTCCTTAAAATTAAGTTGTGTAAAGTGAAATATCCAATAATTTCCCCCTTATTCTTGATTTAGGTCTGATTATTTTTCTTTAGGCTAATCCACATCAAGGTTTTAATAAAGGACAAGTACTATGCCTTTTAATCTGCTTGATAAAGTACCCGTTTCTATCTAAACTGTGAAATGTTTTATTTCTTATTAATTATAATCCACAAGGCACATGAGTTCTCTGTCACCAAACACCTTCCCCTAAATTCCTGTGGCTTGACAGGCAGCCACAAGGAACAGGAGGAAAAGTGGTAACACTGACAAGTGGATCAAGAAATAAAACTGAGAACTGGAAACATCCGGTCAGGATTCGAAGAGGGAACTGAAGCCCAACAGAAAAAGGACAAAGCCTGGAGAATCGGGGTGATTGGCCATCTGAGCCCCTTATTGCAAAGTGATCAAGTAAAAGGCAGTTAGATACAAAGACACTACTAAGTGAGAAAAACCGGGTCCTAGAAAGAGTTCGGTTATTCAAAATAATTAAATGAAAACAAGATAGGCCATGTAGTTTAACTTCTCCCATCTTAGTTTATTCCCTGAGGTTCCCAGTACAGATTTTCTAGGAATGGAGGCGAGAAGACAATGCCATTCTTAAGCTCCTGGACCATGCACGTTTCTCAGAGAAGTAATATTTGAGAACTCAGTTAACTATCTGGCCAGAGGCTATGTCAAGTTCTCCAATTCCCTCAAAGCAACAACTTAAAATAATCACATAGCTTGTCTTTAAAACCTCCCAATGGAATAGCTGTTTGTTAAAGATTCCTATACTGTGGCTGTAGGAATAGGCTTTTTTGAGAAACTAAACCAGATCATTCTAACTAAAAATTCCAGTTTGCCCATTAGACATTAACCGCCAGGAACATTAATGACCCATTAAGTTTCTACCAATTAAAGATACTTTATCTTCACTTACTCTTCTCTGTACTCTTAACAGGTATTTTCTTCTTGCATATGAAAAGTATTTTCAGTGGCTTTGTTTTGTTTTGATTTTTCAGCAATGCAAATCTCTGCCCCCTATTCCTTTAACTCCTTCTTGGTAAATAGGAAGTGTAATACACTGTCATCAAGCCCCATATATCCAACCTCCTTACTTATGAAGAAAGTTATGGAGCCATCTCATACATTTAGAATTCCTTAGAGACACTTGCTCTCTATTAAAAACATTTTGTTATATATAGAGATAGAGATATATAGATGTATAAAATCTATGAAGAATTCACTGAAGCACAAATCACTGTATATTGAGAAGCTAAAAATGTATCAAAGTGCACAAAATGATGGATAATCTACATACTGTCTCCTCTCATATGTATCACTATCCTCCAAATCTATAGCATAGGCTGGCATAAACACTTACATCCAAGCTCAGTTTGAAATCTTGCTTAAAAACATCGATCAGTGTTAATTCTCAGAAGACGTGTTACAGGATCACAGGAGGAATCATTAGGAGGTGGCTGAAGAATGCCAATTACAGAAGAACGCGCTTCTCAGAGACTGTTGCATTCTGCATAGGTACTTAGGGAAGAACACTATTCAGAGATACTTTAAAGTAGCGGTTCTCAACCTGGGGGTCGAACGACCCTTTCACAGGGGTCGCCTAAGACCATCGGAAAACACATATATAATTCAATATTATTTTTGTGATTAATCACTATGCTTTAATTATGTTAAATTTGTAACAATGAAATTGGGGGTCACCACTACATGAGGAACTGTATTAAAGGGTTGCGGCATTAGGAAGGTTGAGAACCACTGCTTTAAAGTATAAAGACTGGTCAACTTAAAAGTATAGGCAGATATACTTGACTTTATCTTATAATATATAAAAAATGCATTAGAATAAAAATGCAATGAATTCATATACCTTTTCAAAAGGAAACCCTGATACAGAAGTAGCAATAAAGTTATAAATGACAATCAGATGAAGATTTACATGAAGCTTATTTCTCTTGAAGAGATGGGCCAGGGCAAGTGGTCAGGAAGGAAACACAATGTGCTTTTAACTTTGCATGGGAAAAAAAAGTTCAGTTCCATGTTGCCAAACATAGTTCTGTTTTGCCATATAAATCGTCTACTTCAATTACTAACCAAACGCTTTACTGAAACTCCGTTTCTGGCCTTTGTTCTGGAATCTGTTATTTCTGTTGCCACCGCCTGATCGCTGTCCCCTGAAGTTTCTATTTCCATCCCGCTGTCCCCTGAAGTTTCTGCTTCCGTCCCGCTGTCCCCTGAAGCCTCGATTGCCTTCCCGCTGTCCTCTGAAGCTTCGGAATCCTTCCCGCGGTCCTTCCAGCTCCGGCTGCTCCGTGGCCACAGAGAGTTGCCAGCGCCGGGAATCATGCCATTTTTCCTGTTGAGAGATGCTTTTGTTTTTTCCTCTTTTATTTTTACTGAATTTGGTTTAAAAAGACACGAGAAAGACATTTTCTGCCCTTTCTCAAAGAGAAAAACTAGACTGATAACCTAAGTGCGTCAAAGGTCACTGGTCAAAAACACTAACCTTCACGGCCCAGAAGCCAGTCACTGAAGGGTGGAAAAATAACTTTCACCATAAAAAGTACCCGCACAGCCTGGCCAGCACGGCTCAGTGGTTGAGCAGCAACCAAAGAACCAGGAGGTAATGGTTCGATGCCCCGTCAAGGCACATGCCCAGGTAGCGGGCTGATCCCCAGGAGGCAGCTGATCAAGGATTCTCTCTCATCATTGATGTCTCTATCTTTCTCTCTCTCTCCTTTCTCTCTGAAATCAATAAAAATATATTTTTAAAAAAGAGAGAGAAGTAGCCTCATAGTATTGCATCAACACAGTATCATTTATTCAATTCAATTACTATAGGTATCCAAAGCTCTCAGGCAGTAAAACAAAAATATACCTTGTACAAACATGTTTCTCACAGCAGTAGTGAATAAAGAAAGATATAGCAATTAAAAAAGTTTATGTAAACTTCATGTAACATATATAGGGGAGTCTGGATATACTCTGTAGGAAAAAAAAACAAGCAGGCTGACCAAGAAAATATATCAGAATAGAATGTTAGGAGAGAAAACTCCTAAAATTCTTAATTGTCTTTTAGTGAAGGGCCTAGAGCTATTGTGTCCTTTCTATTATTCTGTATTTTCAATAACAAACATTCTACAATTTAGATATGTTAACTTCAAAATCCAAGAAAAAGAATACCTGTATTCCTGTGACTGCTTCAGTACGGACATCAAAGCAAACACCCTAGAAATCAAAACAAAAGCAGTTAATCCAGCCTTTGACCTGAATTATAAAATGCACATTAAGTACTACACCGAATAACCAGGTATTGTTTTTTTTAAAAAGACGGTATTTTAAAAAGAGGAATATCACATTTCACATTAAGATATTTAAAAATTGTATAATCAGCAAATACTGTTTATAAATGGCCTCTTTTTTGCCATCAATAATGTTCTGAAATGCTTCTTGTGTCCTTTATTTTTATTATCTCTTTATAGCTTTTCATATTTCTTCTTTGTTATTTACTAAGATAATAATGGACAGGAAAACTCTGGAAGGGATATTATGTACCTAAGCAAGCTATTTTAAATGCTTGAAAAAAAATTAAATGCATAGTTTTGAGTGTACTAGACTTTTTTCTTTTAAGTGTCCACAGAAATGAAGCCATGGAAAGTAATAAATTTGTCATTATCGAGTCAAAAAAAGTATTAATTTAAGGTAAACTTTAGACCAAGACCAACACACTGTACCTCCCAAAGCACAACAGCAAAAAGCTAAGGAGATATATATATATACATATATATATATATATATATATAGACTCAAAAACTATTTAGAACTGAGTAGAGGTCATTCTTGGCTATCGCACTGTGCTCATCCTCAAGTAACTATTAGCTACATTTATGGCTGAGGAAACAGAAGACTGGATAGGCTAACTGACTGGCCTAGGGCCCCACAGCTGGTAA